GCTTCATAGACTCAGTCCATTTGTTTGGATCATTTATTTTTCTTCCTGGGATGCCTTATAACCTGCTTGCCTCAGTTAGTGTGCATGCATGGGTTGCCTGCGTCTGATCCTGCCCCTTTTTTGGAAGCCAGAGATCTCCTGTGTTGGTCATGTTATATGACCAATATTCACCTTATCTTCGAACAAGCATGACTCTACTAATCCCTCCTCTGATCCCTCCCTTTGTCGCCTGTGTCTGTCTTTCATTCAATCCCATCCAAGCGGTTTTCATTTGGTTCTTCTTCCCTGTGGCAGGGTGGTAGCTATGTGAGACTCTAGGAAACTGTTCATCTCCTGCAGCCCCTCTTAATGGTCAGGTCTTTCTTTTCCCCTTTTTTACAATTTCTTTTAAATTCTGTAAGGTTCAGGGAGGGATGAGGCCTTCATAGCCAGAAGTCTACTGATGGGCTTCACTGGGACTTATAAAGATGTGGATTTCATTCATTCATCTTTCCCTCATTTCATGTGTCCATGAGTTCATGTGTTGGGTTGAAGTCTGGGACCCTGAAAATGTCATTCCGCTTTCAAAGATGCCATGTAGTGTTTCTCTAGTCTTAGATGTAGCATGTGCCAAAGGAAAAGCTTGTTTTTAGGAGAATTCACACCTGGATAGTCAGCAGTGTTGGACCCAGGAAAAGGAGGAAAAGTGAAGTCTGCACACCAAGAGCTTAGTTCCTCCTGCCTCCTGACTTCTAGTTGAATGCTAACGTGTGGATGCTGGGATTGCCTGTCACATCCTCTGCATGTGGGAACTATTATAACAAGTTGCATGTGTGACTCTGAGAGGGTTTGGCACACTGACTGCAATGACGATGAAATGTTGTCTTTTCTACCCCTGTTACTGACTTTATTTATGCTGCTAATGGAATTTATCTAATTACTCTTGTTCCAGATTTACTGTTTCAAGCCAGTTAGCTCCTTTACAGCCCAGCTCCTTTGAAAATAGGCTCCCTTCATCTTGAAGCTGAAATATTCCTGCTGCCTACCATGAAAACTTTTTTTGAGTTTCTCATCTGCATGCCCTATAACATTTTGCTACTTGTTTATCATCTAAAAAGAGAAAACTGTGAAGTCATCCTGCTAATTCCCTGTAGCTGTAGTTTAGAAGCACTACACGGTGTCTGACGGCCATGCTGTTACCTTTCTTTCCCGCCTGCAGGGCTCCATCATTAGCAGTCCTCACACACGGCGGAGAGCCACCACGCCACACGAGGGCGACCCCCGCGGCCCCCCCTCCATCCCCAACTCCGCATCGACTTCCATCATCGGGTCGTTCTTTGGCAGCAAACGAGGCAAACCGTCATCGCTGAGCCACGCCCCTTACCCCGCCCCCGGCCAACCCACTCTCATTTCCCACAAGCCCCACCCCACCAACCTGCATCACACAGCACAGACGGCACACACAGTGCAGCTCCACTCTCCCCACTCCCAGTACTGCCAAGTCCCCCAGAACCCCCCGCCGTACAACCACCACCACCACTACCAACCGCCCCCCCACACGCAGCACCACCAGCACCCGGGATACACCTCACACCAACCCCCCCCTCAACAGCACAGCCACTACAGCCAGCATTCCCATCATGCTTCACACTCCCAGCATGCCCCTCACCACCACAGTCAGCAGGTGGGTTCGGCGCCTGGCGGACCCAAACCTAAACACAGTGGCATCAGCACCGTAGTGTGATGCTCCTAACGCAGAGAGGAGGAGCGAGGAGGAACTTTATGAAGAAGGGACAATTGCTAACACCAAAGGGACTGACAGCAGAACTCTATGGCCTGTCCACTGTGTTTAACCGCTGCTGTGAACCAATCACACGCAGGCACCTTTTTCACCTCCAGCTCTAAATAATATGCAGGATGGAAATCGGACTCACACGTTCCACCAGGGGCCTTTTACAAGTTTGCCTGATCATGGGCTTGGCCCTATCAGGGTTTTTGTGGGGGGGAGACACACACACACACACACCGCCCGGCCGTGACGGCTGCAGAGAAAATGCGTTCTCTCACCAAGCCGCTCCCCACTGCTTCATTCCTAAAATAACCGGTCTTACCTTCACATAATCAGGAGGAAAGGTGTGGCTGACTGTTTTCTCTGTCACAACGATGGCATCATTTCTTGTGCACAGCCTTTCAGAAGTCAACTTACAACTCTTTGGTTTTCAGATCCTACCATCATATGAATGCAATGTGTCGTTGCCTCGCGTAGAGCTCATGCGTAGTGAAGATATAATCATTTCATACTAACTTAAATCAAAGGACAGGTAAACTGCTGAGCCGACCGTCTCAGTCATTGTAGTTCTAGTGCTGTATTTACTGTAGATGACAGCTATATGTGTTGTCTCCTAGCTCTCATAAATAAATGTGCCAATTATTAATGCATAATCTATTTAGTCAAGACTTCATGTACAGTATATTGTGCGTTAAGGAATTTGTAAGATTATACTTACAATTATTATTATCTGCAAAAATGAATTTTATCAGTATTATACTGACTCACAGGATGAAGATCTGAAAGGAGTGAACTCAGTCGGCCTATAATCTGAATGTTGCCTTTCAAATGGATCAGACGGAGCCTCTGGAAGGCAGCTGTTGCATATGGGCCTCGAAACACTGAGGTCACAAAGCAGACTTTTCCTGTCAACTCCTGAATTATAAACTGGGCTGGTTGGTTGTTTTAATCTCAGTTTACTACTCATACTGTGGCTGCTTAAACTGTAGAAACTGATTGAAAATACATTTTAAATACCCTCGGGGGCTCAGTTCAAATGTTACAAAAGGACCCGCAGAATGCGTTGAACATGTTAAGTCTGTTGCCTTTAAAAAATATGTGACAGCTGCTCTCCTGACTCTTAAATTCTAAAACAGAAACACGTTTGAAATCTTCTTTTGCCTTGTTTAGTATATTTTTTTTATTTGCCAACGACGTTTGGTGAGTGAATAAAATCAGTTCCTACATAGTGAAGTATTTTTTTCATCTTTTTCTATCATATGTGCAATATCTTTGGACTGATTTTGTACATTAACAACAAGCAAGGTGTCCCTCCAATTTGTGCGTTTTTTTTCCGTGTTGCGTTATTATTTATTTATATTTGTTTTGACCCCTGTCAGAGTCTTTCTCAGTAAATTAATATGTGGCTGTCCTCGTGGTCGTATGAGAGGTACAGACTTGGAGTTCAGTGGAATGTCTAGTAAGTGATTTTTGCATGTAATGTTATTAATGTGAGGCTATCCTCTGCACATTGTATAACGAATCAGTGTTACCATAGCAAGTTTAAGTGCAATCATGTTCAGAAAATGCAGACTTGTACTGAGAGTGGAAGTCTGTTATCTTGTTGTCCAGGACGAGATTCAGGTGAAAAAAATATATCTTTTTTCATTTGAGAATATATGAATACTTACTTATACAGTTCACAGTGGAAAGAGGAATGTGTGTATATATTTTAATAAAAGGAATATGCTTCTCTTTGGGCTGAACAGAAATATTTTGCTGGATAAGCACATATGAAAGAACACTTTCATTTTTTTCAGGAATTGCAGTTATGATATACAAAATGCAAACTGAACAAAGGAACTGGGTATATGTAAAGAATAACTTTCTACATTCTACAAATAAGAGTCTATTCTAGTGTGTAAATTAGTGACAGTAAACAGTTTGTCCCAATATTCAGGTTGTAAATGTATTTTAACATTCACAAAGAAGACCATTGCCATAAGTCAGGCTTATTCTCACACATTTCTCCTCATGTGAATTAACAAGGACGTTCAGATGACACACATATCACATACGAGACATTAATGATCAGTTGAATGTGTCTTTCCATGGATTTTGTATTTTTTTGCTATGATTCTGAAATCTTGGGATGATGTAAAAACCGAGGAACCTGTGTATTTTGGTGTGTGTTGTAGTGCTTCAAATGTCTCCAGTCATTCTTTGTGAGAAAGTACCCCAACAATGCACTGCATGGATCATCATGTGTCCTATTCACTGTGAGCTGATGGGGAAGAAATCAGCCTATACATTTTGGTTTTGATTTATTTCGATTTTCCTGATGTTGACGTGTTCTTGTTGCTCTATGTTAAGCTGGTAGTTATGAAGCTCGGCATGCATTTCATCAGCAAAAAGCCATTGTATAAATTACAAACAAAAGGAACATTGCACTTCTGTTGCTGAGGGCTTTCATCGTGTAAATATGGGATTCTGGTGTGCAAACAGATGAACTGCTTGTATGGATGGTTTATCTTTAATGAAGGGACCAAGATGGAGGTTGAATCAGCTGTACATAGTGTGTATATGATCAGTACTCTATTCTGATATCTGCAGTTAAGATCCGGATGTATACACATCACCTCATAGATGGATTAGGGGGTGATATATGAACATATCGATTGTCTCTGCCTCCAGTGAACAGACATGTGCTGTATAACTCAACAACAGACTGTTAGGAAGTTTGCTGCCATTTCACATCCAGCTCTCTTTTCATACAAACAACCCCCAACACACACACACGCGTACAAAAAACACACATCCTGCTGCAAGCTGTTCAGTCTGGCGTGAGACACATTTAAAAAGAAAAAAGACAAGAATGGCCTCATTTATATGTGCATTCTGTTTGTACAGTGAGTAGTGAGTCAGTAAGACCCCAGTTATTGTAAAACTTAAACTGTGACAATGTTGAGAACGCAAAATAAACGAATATATGACTTATGGTACGCATGTGTTGTTTTTGCTCTCCAGTGTGTATAAAGTAGAAAATGCCTCATCTTATTGAGCTCGGGTTCAGCTGTCACTGCGAATCAAAGGGGAATTAAACTCTTTTTCTTCTTTAATGCATTTTGCAAAGGAGCCTTATCTTTAGGCTCCAGTATCTTCCACTTCCAGGCTCCATCATTACTTTCCAATTCTAAGTGTTGCAGCATTTCCACTAGAGGGCATACATTAAAGTGCTTTAAAATCATGTGGAAATGTGTGCCATTACACCACCTATTGGTGAATCATGTGCTGGCCACACAGTTCCTCATAGGATCAGCCAGTGGAAATAATCTTTCAAACTCGGCTGTGGAAGTGTGACATTATTTTTTGGATAAACCTCCTTTCTGCTTTGCAGCCTAGAATTCCATCACGAAACATTTGCTCTTTGGCGTCAAGCTCATTTAATATTTGGCTTTCAAAATATCTCATAGGTACTTTTAAATTCACATAAAGCTGTACATGCTCCCAGCTGTGTTTAGTATAATGCCCTCTTAGCCCTCATCACTGCAGTGGATGTCAGTAACAAACATTGTGTGGATGAGCTTAAGATAGCCTCCGCCACTAGTTAATAGATAAACTCTTATCTCCTCTAAGCAGATGGGGCTCCTTCACAGTGAATGCGGCATAATCGTGCAGTGTTATTGGTGCGTTCCTCACACTGACGTCGCTCTGTATCGGCTGTGCAACAAACGGACTAGAACAATGAACAGATAATTATATTTTAAGGATGACTGGCACAGCAGGAGGTAAGTTCCAAGTTGGCTAGACTATAAAAGGTGTGTATTTGTTGTGTAACTTAAGAAAACAAGGAATGTATCATTCACTTTGTCATTTGCCTGTATCTCCTCATTAAAAATATGTATATATTTAATTTCACCTAACAGATGTAATCAGTTTTGGCATAAACAATAAATCAAGATTCTGAAGAAACGTTATCTTGTTCTAATACACATCTTAATTATCACTTTTTTTATTTAGGATTCTCCAATATAACAACTGGCTTAGTGCTGCACTCTAGGAATCCTCCCTGCTCCTATTATTATTATCTCAACTGGAAATGACAGTGAAAGTATTGGAATAATCTTTCCCTTTCCAACAGGATGCTCTGCAGTTTAATCTTAGCTGTCTTCCTGGTCTGGGCCACATCAAGCGCACACACCACTGGTCGGCCCTGCCTGTGTTCAGCTCTCCTTCCTGAGGGTCTGCAGGTCAACTGCAGCTCTTTAGACCTGGTGGAGCTGCCCACTCTGCCCTCAGACACCACAGAGCTCCATGTTCAGGACAACCGGCTCACCTCAGTGTCTCCCGGCCATTTTGACAGACTGGTTGCTCTGAAAAAGGTCTCACTTTCGGGAAACCCCTTCCACTGCGACTGTAGGATCCAATACCTGAGGAGCTGGTTGCTGAGGAACAGGGCCGTTGTCTTAAAGGAGCCGATATGTACCGGCCCAGACTCTATGGTTCAGAAAGTCATCACTGAACTCAGCGATGAATACTTCTCCTCCTGTGTGCTGGCAGTCTGTACTGATAGTACTTATAACACTGTGATTGGAGTGGTGCTATGCTTCCTCATTCTTCTGCTTCTGTGGAGCTTGAGACTAGCAAAAAACGTCCAGCTTCACACTGTACATTTGTGAGAGACATTTAGGATTGGAGGCCGACTCTTTGCGCTCACTGAGGCCTAAACACAGGAGGAGGCTACACACTGCACCGCTGGAGGTCACTGTGGATTCTCTCATTTGTGCGGGGGAACTAGAAAAAACACTCAACATGGAGTTACTGCCACAAGTACTGGATGTGTTGCACAAGAAGCACACTATAAAGATAAAGGCTACCTGAGGGACCTACTATAATGGAATTGCTGAAACACTAGAGGAGAATAGAGTTGACGGAAGCACAACGATTGTCTTTGTTTGTTGCAATAAAGTTGTTTTAATGCTGAACGGCCACAGCCATTCTGAGACTTCTTCTAGGTAACTGATTTTTATTTCTGTAACCTAAATCTAGTTTACTTATAAAAGCAGTGAAGGCTACAAATAAAAACATGATGACTTACCCATTTAAAAAAGTGTCTTTGGTACACTGCAAGTCATTACATGTGATATGTTTTTTAGCTTTTGATAACAGAAATAAGCAAAAATTAGACACTAAATTAGAGATATAAGAGCAATGAGGACTATTTTGCCCTCTGAATGTATTATACTCATCAGTCTATGCATGTTATATTTGCTTTACAACTGATCTCACTACATGACTCAATACTGAGCTAGCTGAGCATGTATGACAGTGTATATCTTGTAGAAAAAAACAATACTGCGCTAACTGAGAATGATCATTGTCTTGATTACTTGTGATAGGTTGTTGGTCGTTTTTGATTGTAAAAAATGCATCACAGTTTGCATAACATGTGTAACTATTCCATGTATGTTCTTACAGTAAGGTATTTCCAATGAGTGCAAAAACTGTAAATGATCAGATATGGAGCGGTACAGTTGTTGATTCGTATTGGAATTTAATCTTAATACATTTCCAGGTAGCTTTTGTTTCTGGATATAGAATATTCGACATTATAATAAACAGGTTATGGCAGGAAGGTATGGTAACAGACAACAAAGATGATGTGTGCAAATACTGGTCTCAACTAGAGAAAATGTAGACAGACATTTCTATTAGAGGACAATACTGCAAATCAAACAGTACAGTACATGTATTCATCTCATATACATGCATAGATTTTCCAAGATAAATGGGTAAATAAATGTCTTAAAATGGAATAATAAAAATGCACCTTCAGAATAAAGGTAAACCGTTATCTGAATATGCTTCTTAAAAACACTGTTAAATTCTTGTAATAAATATAGGATGATTTCAGGAAGGAATTTTCAATTATCTACAACGTAACTATCATCTAAAAAAATACTTTGTAGGGTCAAATAAGGCAGTTCCTTAAATTGTTCCTTAATCCAAACAAGTAATTTAAGTCAAAAATAATATAAAAAAGCAGTTGACAGTAACACTTACATTATGAACTTGTCTAAAGTTGTTCTTAATGTTGACAGTTAAGAAGAGGACCCATATTTTGTCAATGCCCTGTTGATATGTCCACAGTGTTAGGCTCCTACAGGTTTATATGTTATGTCATATAACCCAGTTTACTGATAGGACCTCGACTCTACTGAGGCACAAACTTCTCCAGATCAAAGATGCGTTCAACAGCGTCCGCCACATCATGCACGATGCAGTCTGGCTCCACCAGCGCGGGGTCGAACCTGAAGTCCCGGTGCCCGTGGAACACAGTCTCTTTGATGCAGTGGCTGGCATCAGGCGGGACCTCTTCGTTGGGGTTGTAGACCCCCGTGCAGACCAGGACAGACTTACAGGAAGTGGCAGAGGGCAACGCCAGCTCGCTCTCCCAATGATTGTGGCTCTCATCCACCTGGGGCAGAGCGGTGGTGGACCCTGTGGCGGAGACCATCTTAGCAACAGCTTTAGCGTTCTTCCTAGCAACACTCTCGTCCAGGTAGCGGTTGTATAGGTTGGCGCCATAGATGTCAGTCATTAGGTTATCCCTAAGAGGGCAGAGAGGGAAGAGATCAGGAAATAGCCAGAATACTGATACATTCGAGAAGTTTCTCTGCTGCTCCACCGACAAAAACAACGCTGTAACAACAAAACAGGAACATTCGTGACAAAAAGTTGAAGTGAAATTTGCAAGCTCTGAAAGAAAGGTGTGATATGTTGAGTTAACTATAATGCTTGCGGGCAGTTGAAAGAGACTCCTCAGCCTTTTAGTTTGTTAAAATTGCAAACTTAAGTTATAAAGGGAGCACAAACCGTTTCAATAACTGGTAATCTAAGTCAGGTGGCAGGTTTTAGTATCCTTGTTACTACTTTCTGCCTTCTGTCATTACTTAGATGTACATTTGTGTTCAGACTGTGAAAATGTGTGGTTGCTTTCTTAGTATATCTCATATGCTTTTACTAAATGTACATTACAGACAAAGACATGGTGTCTTACCCTATAGCATAAAGTGAAGTGACGGGGAGTTTCCATTGCCTCTCCATGGTCTGGCTTCTGATGAGGTACTCTGCAAAGTGGTATGTCAACTCACTGGGTTTTCCCATGAGCGCCTCGTACTTCAGGTCTTTGCCGGTTATCTTCTTGTAAATGTTCTCCAGGCACACAAGAAATGTCCCATGGCCAAACCTGAGTGAAATGGGATCATGGGAAGAAGAGGGGTATATTTACATTTGGAATCTTTAAAGACTGTGTTTTCCTTGTCAATGTTATTATATTAAATATTTGTATTTTTGTGACAGCACTGGTTACCGGGGAGAATGTGCCTCAGCCATCCACATGAGGTCCATGTTGCAGGCCAGCAGGGGGAGGTGAGGCATCTGTTGGGATTGGTGAACATTGCTGAGGTTACCTTTGGTCAATAAAATATCAATTATCAGCTGCAGGTGTGTCTCCCATCGAATCGGCTCCCCAAACAGAATCACAGCTGGAAATAAAAGACAAACATTAGATCCCTTTGATATAAATGATAATTAAAATACAGGATGAGAGCTAATAAGTGGTAATGTCCTCACCTTCAACCATGGGAAGATTGCCAACAGGATTGGACTGTAATGAAAGAAGAGAAGCTTAACATGTGCTGCTGTTTATGACTAAATAGGCGTGTAATATTTCTACTATAGTCATCTATTTCTGCAAAAGATTTCAATATCTTACCGGCAGTTTGGGTCTCCTGTTGTGATCCACCATGTCCATCAATGGGAATGATTCCCTCAGCATATCAACACTGACAACATTATTAAAGCCCACACTAAAGACAGAGTTAAGGACAATGACGAGTAATATGTTAGCCTTATTAGTCAATGAATAGTAAGCAAAAAACACAACAAAGCACAATTCCAGGATACTTTTTTGCAATTTCCAGGACCGGCCCCTGTCCTGACACCAGCACACACTTGTCATGAAACTTTGTAAACATCCTCAAGGGACTGTGAGACATGACGACCTGATCTTGGGTAATCTGGGAATAGAGTAGGTGTGAGAAGAGGTTAATATAAGTGATAGGGGACAACCAGAATTTAGTTTTGGAGTATTTATTCTAGACAGAACAAACATGTAGCTAGAGCAATATCTCTCAACACGTGGATAACTCACAGCTACTCCCAGGATGTGAGAGAGCTGGTCTGCTTTTGTTTGTCGCAGGCAGTTCCCTGCATTTGTGACAAAGACAACTGGCACCACAAATTTTCCCTGAGAGTCGACCAACTTCTCGAATGCCTTTTTTGCAGCAGGGATTGGCATCCTTCCCCGAACCAGCACGCCATCTATGTCAAACAGCAGCCCAAATCTTGGCTGTGGCTGAAGAAAGAAAGAACAGCAACATATTTTTCAGCCAAAGAGCAAGCAATGACTCCAACAAGTGCAGCCTTTATTTATTTTACACATAGGAATAGCCACAAAATGAGGATAAAGAACAGAATTGGGATGAAATTATTCATTACATTTGTAATATATATAGGCCTATTATCATGTCGCTAAAAAATGGCAAATTAACCATTTATAACCCTGTACAAGACGTAACATGCTATTTTTCTACATAAATGTGAAATGATTTGAATGTACTTTTGATAATGTCTTTCGATATTGTTCTACATATAGTGTAATTTTACTATTAGGGACTGATTTTAGTATGACATAGCGCTACATATGGGTGGGGGTGGGGGGGTTAAAACTTTAACAAATAATCTGAAAATGATCTAGATATATATGTAAACAAATGTTTTCCTCAATGTGTTTGCGGTCACTGGGGCTGAAAAAAAACTAACTGAACACCGTGGAGTATCTGCGCTTGGTTTTTCCTCATGGGGGAAACAAACAGTAAGCTACATCTGTTGTTATCCCTGCAGACCCTGTTATTCCATCGCGTCCACATCAGAGCAACGACGATTTGATACAACAAACTGAAACGAATACAAAGTAAATCGCTTTTTCAACAACGCATTGTTTAGCCTAAAAGTCGCAGCAACAGCTCCAACCGTACCTTGCTGTTTGACTGAGTTCCGCAAAACCCGCACCGAGAACCGACAATCCCAGCTTTGCGTCTGGCTTGACGGTTACTCGGAGAGCACAGGCCCCGGTAAAACGACAGGAGTCCCCTCATCTCTTTTGTTTAGCACCGGGTTTTAAAAGAGAAACTGTATGTAATTGTAAAACGACCCGGCATGAAGGATAAGAGCCGGCTGGTTCGGGCTGTGCTGGCTGCTCGGCTTGTTTTCGTCCTGTGAGGTTTTCTCGCCTGATTTGACTCGGCGAAACCTGATGACGTCATATGAGGAGGGTCTTTTTCCTGCATCTCTGGCGGAAGGAGATGTGGCGCTTCTGAAAAACTGCAACCCCCGCTGCCATTTTAGACATCGAGGTGGAGCTTTCTGTTTCTTCCACGCACAAGCATGTCGATGAATAACAGGAGACGGCTGCAGAAACACGATCTCATTGATCCGCATGGTCCATGTTGTTTTATGAATATATATTTAATGGTCATTCTTTGTTCGCACACCACGAAGACAACCGAAGCTAAAGATCTTATTCTCCATTTCATTCGGCTTCACTTGTACAGCACATAACTGTAACGACATGCGCAAAGTCACGTGCAGCTGTCTCCCAATAAATGTGTCTCAGGGCGGCTACATTTGCTGCAGAGAACCTCGAGGAATTTGCCTGTGAAATCTGACGCGCGCTGTGAAGATATCCCTGCACCCCTTTTCCATTTTTACTCAACAGGCTCTGTAAATGGAACACATGTAATGGATGCAGAGAAAATAGGAAAAAAATGTGTCCGGATATTTGAACTCTAATTCTGCAGATGGCTTGCCAATTAGGTGCAGTGCCAACATGCTTGAGGACCAAATAAATGATCTTTTGTGTGACACGCATTGTTTTTGTAGAATGCATGAGATAAGTAAGCAAGTAAGTATTAATCTAAAAATGTAGACATTTTAAAAATATAATAGAATCTGTTAGGGCAAGACATTTGAAATCAAGTAGTCAGACAAGACCTCCCCGTGCTCCTCCAGCTTTATTGATAGTTTAAAATTACATTTCTATTTTCTAGGACTTCAGTTGCACTTTCCTTCCGACTTAAAAACTGAGTACAAGCAAATGGTATTTATACAGTAGTCTAAGTGATATTGTACAAAAATAACATTTTGATTTCTGTGAAAACATTTTTTCATTCCCAAATAACTCCTAATTCTGCTGTTCTTACAACTGTTCATGTTGTTAAATTTTGCCAAGGTAAAAAAAAAAAATTCCAAAGCCATTTATAAAGGAAACGTCTACCTTGGACTACCAAGTGATATTGAAATTGTAAACAGATTTTCTATAAAAGAACGCGTTTCTTTTAATACCTCCAAAATGTTTATATCGTAGCAATATAACATGTAGTTTGTTATCGCCCGCTTAGCTGCTTGAAGGGCTGAAATGCATCATGTTATGAACAGTTTCCATGTCATTACCCTCTTGGCCAACTCAAATCCCACTAAAACAAACCAAAATAACCTTACATGGAAGTTCAGTTTCCATTTACTCCCTTCTTCTATCTCATATTACTGAGGCTTACTTTCACAAGCTCAAAGATCCTATAGATTCTCATATGTTTAGTCCCATTTATTCATCTCTGATAACCAGTGGCTTGGAAAGGGGGTTCTTTTACAAAGCATTATACATAACACCGCTACCGAACTAAAACATTTTTGTATTGAATGCAGAAAGATTTTTTCACCCCTTTCATTGTATTACATGTCGAGAGGCTCACT